TTAGCACATGTCCAGGGCAGTGGGAACTCAGCAAGTACAAAAATGTAGCAACTGTGAAGTAGCTAAAATGATCTCAGTACTTGCAATACTGTACAAAGCTAGTTTTTTGAGTAGCGTTTAGGACTTTTGTCCAACTTTTTGCTGCATGAGCAAGCAGGAAACATTTCACTTGTGTTAGTCACTTGGTCAAATAACTGGAGCTCTCCACATGATACTCTGTGCTAAACATCTCAGATCATGAATCACACAAATGCTACATATTAAAATGAGGAAGTTAAGTTTAATGTCTATTTTTAAGGAAACCTTTTTCTCTTCTCATCATCTTTTCAGAAGGTCTTTGTCAAGTGAAACATCCCTTACGTGTGCACAATCAAGCCAAGGACTTTCCAGCATTGGCTTATGAAGTCCTAACAACATTACTTTTATTCCTTAGAGTTTTACTCTTTTGGCAATAAAAAGAACCTGAGAAATTGGATCCACAGAGTTTGTCCAAGTCTGCAGAGAGTATGGAGCAGGTACGCTGAGGGGCAATGCTTTATGCATTACAGTGGAGTTATCACTTCCAAACAGTGATATACCCAAGAGTGAACAGAGTTTACCTACTTATAATTTGGGAAATAGAGAGTTTACCCAATTCTTCACACTTGGCTGGCAATCTCAAGTCAGGGAGTTTTCCCATTACACTACTTTTTCAATCGTGGCCCTGGCTGACACCAAGCAGAAGAACAGGCTTGGCTCAAGCTGGCAGGCTCCTGCTGGAGTTTGGTGATAAAAGGGATGGTGGGGACAGGGGGAAGGGTGGGCAGCATGGCCTGGAAAGGGGTGGAATGAAGGATTTAACTTCTTATGTAAGGAAGGAAACCATGCATGTGAAAGTCTAGTGTCTAAGGGCCAAAATACATCTTATTTTAGATGAAGGTAATAAAGAATCACTATGAAAGTATAACAATGAGAAATGTAACAATGAGAGAAATGATATATGATAGTATTTGTTTGCCACCTCCAAGAAAATGACTAATAGATTGGGTTAGAAATGAATTTTTGATTTCTGAAGATACATTAAAGTTAGATGAACTACTGGCTTATTAGTTTCTGGAAGAATAATTCCTCCTCTTGTGTAATGCAACAAAAAAGCAAGACACGGTCACTGTGGAGACAGAAAGACACGAACAGTTATCAAGGTTCAGAGTGACACCGTGAAAAGGAGTTTCACCTTTAGGTCACTGGTTGAATTTTAAATCGAGGAGTTGCCACATGCCTTTGGGGAGCTGTTTGATGTCCTGGGTCAGCTCGATCTCACATACAGCTCGGTTCCTAGCAGAGAAGTGTTCCCATCACAAGCACTGCAGCAATAGATAACCTCCCTGATGAGCCCAGCAGAAAGGAGTGTCCTTGTACCAGCTCTCCTGGAAATAGACCGTGTCACAACAGCCTGCCCTCTGAGAAAACAGGAGAGCACCCATTTTCCATTACCCCAACACCTGAAGCTGAACTTAATGTTCACTAGACACCATAATACAAATATAATTACTTCATTCCCCCTTCTCAGTTTCCGAGGGCTTGCAGGGAAGGCTGACCCAACCCCAGTGCTATTACTTTAGGAACTGGTTTAAATCATGTTCAAAGCACCTTGCGATCATCAGACACCTTATTTTTTCAACAAAAATACCTGGGTGCTAGTCTGCAGGGCTTGCTTAATGGTTTTTTAACCCTTTCAGACACTGAAGAAGCCTGTTGTGAAAAAGCACACAAAGAAACCAAACAAATAAACCCAACCAACCCGTCTTCCCACCCATATTTGCAAATTCTAGCCAAACTTGGACTCAATATTGGAAAGAAACATCTTTATGTGCCACAGTTTAGATGTATCTCTAACTAAAAACAAATACGTAATTGAACCCTTAAAAAGAACACTGAGGAAAATAATTGCATAATTAATAAAGGAGCAGTCTTAGGAGAAATGGTTACCTCAAAACTGTGAAACCGCAGCGAAAAATACGACACCACAAAAAACACATTTCACTTGATTTATACTTCATGAAGAAGCAAAACAAACGTTATACAAATATTTTCAGTAGCTGAAAACTGGCTATCACTAGAAAAACACAGCTACAGACATTCCTCATTGCTGGGCTGAACTGCTCTCAAAATAATCCAATGTAAAGGCCACCGACGGAAATATTTCTAATACTCCGCTGTTACAAAGCATTAAACTGCTGTATTTGGTGCAGATCACCTTCCTTGTGCTTCAGAGCTATTAGTTAAGCTTCAGTCTAAGGTTTGCAAAGCACTCTGAACTCTCCTGGCCTCTCGTCCCAAAATCTCAGAATAGTCACTGCTGTTTTCTTGCAAATACGTTTAAGTAGCTTCACAAATAACATTTCATTGCATGCCCATTAAAAATAAACATGCTGGAAATAGCAGAGAGGAAGGAGCCAGAGACACTTTGCCTGTCTCAGAAGCCGCCATGTACAGCTCTGAAAAACACACATGCTGGTGCCCTCTGTGGACCTTTCAGACCAAAAGGACCAGAATTTTAATAGCATCTAAAAAGGTGAATCTCAGAATATTTACCACTGAAAAGGAGAAAAATTCTAGAGAACTGATGTCAGAAACCATTCTGATTGTTCAAGAAGTACACTGTATTTTCTCTCACTGTTGTGGAAACAAAGCCACCGAGTGTATTTTCAATAAAATACTTAAATAAAATTGATGAAGTGTCAACACTTGACTGCTTGTTTAAATTGGACAAAATTACAAAAGCTGCTACAGTGTGTTCAATTTGTTCCAATGTTATTATATACCATAAGGGCTCATTGGAGCAGTGAGAATACTGCAGAAAAGGCGTGAAGATTACAAGATGTCTTAGACTTCTCCCTGGTACAGTATGAAATACAATCTAAGGCAGCTGAATTTATTTTAGTGGAGCTAATTCCTTCCCACCGGGGCTCAATGGGCAAAAAAAGCATCACTGTTCCTTTATGCTACAAGAACACTTTGTTATTTGCTTAACAGGAAGTTAAATGAATCAAAGCTTCAGACAGCAAAAAAAAAAAAATCCACCATCAATTAATGTGCCAAATTTTTAATAGGAAAGCAAATCAGATTTATTTAAAAACCGAGGTCTCATTTCTGGTGTATTTATATTTTCCCAAGGTTGAGCTTATAGTTTATGATATTTTTCATAGTTTATGCTTTCTGAGGAGTACAGGTGATCACGGGAGATGACTCCCGTTTCTGCCCTGCTCCTGCTGAGTGTACTTTACTCCTGTAGCCCAGGTGACTAATCAAAAGGACCACGGCAAGTTATAGCTGTTTATGCTCCAGGTGCACCTCAGCTGATGAAAAGCCGTGCATAAAAGCTCAATACGCAGTCATCACAAGCACCACTCACATTATCAACTGAAAACAAGGCATTTGAATGCTAAAATCTTCTCTCTCCTTCCATAATCTGTCGCCCCCAGACGGGAAGCACAATGGAAGCCCCTGATGACTGACTGTAATGTCCTCCACGTTCTGTCCCCAACACCTTACCTAGGAAATCATTCCAATACACCCAATTTTCTAAACACAGGCTGTGCAGTGAGTTCTCATATTCTAACTATAGCACAGACATGTTGGTCTGAAATTCTGGACCTTTGCACAAGCACTTACAAGTTGTGGAGGACGATGCACAGCTACAGCCTCTCAACAGTGCTTACATTCAATTCATCTCAACTCAATTCAACTCAATTCAAGTCAACCCAACTCAACGTCCTATCACTCATGTCAGGTGCAGAGATACCTTACAGAGGTTTACAGAGCCTAGGAACCCAGGTGCACATCAGTGTCACAGCTGTTATGACATTGCACCAAACAGCTTGCATTTACCCAGAAAGCAGCACACCAGCTGAAGATGAATCCCTGGCTGTTTAACAATTTCCCTTCATCCATACTTCTTGCCCAGCCTAGATATTTTGCTTTGAAAATTAGATATCCATACATTTTTTGAGGTGGTCAACTTTATGGTATCTTTGTACAACCCAGGTGAGTGAGAAGCAAAGGGTTCTGACCGTAAATAAGAAGCATATGTTCCATGACCCACTGCGTCTTCCACAGGACCAAGTGAGAAACAAGGCAGTTAATCAAATATTATGAGATTCTAAGCATATAGTAGTTACTAGTAAAACTAGCATGAAAAATGCGCCAGCCTATTTCAGTCATAAAACACTGGAGAAAAAGAACCTTAAAATTTTAAAACTGATCGTAATATTTTAAATATCAGTGCTATGAAACTTTTTTATTTCTACTGTTATTCAAGCGTGGAAACTACCATGGAAATTCCCTAAGGCTTCACCCAGGCTGGCCTCTAATTGGGACCCTTGTGCTCTGCAAGCCCCCGTGCTGGTGTGGGGTCTCCTGCTCAGGGAGGCTGCCAGCCATGGTTCTCTTGCACAGCTTGCAAGCCTCTTTGCCAACAAGCTGCTCTTCAATGGGAGCCAGACACAACACTCCAAACAAACCCCTAAACCAGTTTAAACTTTGCAGAATTTTACCCCTTCAGCACACCTTAATGCTCCTTCACCTTTTACATGTCATGTCTCAAAAACATTGTTTCCTCAGCATATAAAACAGGGAAAAAAACCCCTATATTTCAAACTCAAAAAATAATAATAATAATAATAATAAAAAAATTATTTGTTCTGCATTGGAGAATTCCCCTCTGCCTTAGTTTACTATTTATAAACCACCAGTCTGGGATTAATTATTATAAATCCTTAAAGCCGAAAAGAAGATTTTAGCCATGTTATGCCACGTATAATCTATATCATTATTAAACTGCAGCTCAAATACACTTTATGTCCTATTTCTGTTGGTCACTTTTGAACATATCCGCATTTTACCTATGGTAAATTTTACTCCTTGAGAGAAAACATTTCTTACTGTTTTCAAAACACCAGACCACCCATCCAACGTGCCACTGTGTGGGAGGAGAGGTGTCAGCTGTAAATCACGCTCACCTGGCACCCCGTCTCTCATCCAGTAATCAATGTCCGTCCCATCTGCGTTGTCGTAAACATCCGTAACATTGATGGGCTGCAGCAGAGCCATGATCTCTTTCACGATGTCCCGAGCTCTAGCATTGCCAGTAAAACCCAGTCCAGATGGCTTGAAGGTGCCCTCATCGGACTCCATGACGATATCAAAGTTGGAGATATTTTCCTAAACACGGAGGGAAAGGACATATTGTTTTGTGAAACCAGCACCACATACTGGATTCTAGATGTCACAGAGAACATACCACAACAAACTTGTTTAAGAAGCAGAGAAATGTTTCTCTTTCCAGAGAAATGTGATCACATGTATATAAGCAGAAATGAAGGGACCTAATCTTTCTATATGAAAACGCTGGAACAATTCAAGTTCAGTTCTGAGACATCAATATTTTCTAGGATGCCCAACAAGACTGGTCTGCTGGCCCCAGATACTTGCTTTAAGACTTCTGAAGTGCCACCTAGAAAGGTAAGCCATCACCACCATATTTCAGTTTTCACTTGGAGCTCTCACTTTCTCCTTAGACCTGAAACTCAGAAATTCTGTTGCAGGATATGCTGTCTGGTTAGCTTTAAAATTAGATGCATTCAAAGCTCGCTTAGATTGTGAAGGGAATCATGTTAAAAAAAACAGCTGCTGCCTCTTCAGAAACACATTATTTTCAATATACCAAGTAGTCAACTCTGACTTTGGTTGGAGGACTGACATGTCAAGGTTCCTCCTGACCTGAAAGAATAATGCCTGTTTTAAGGGAAGTTTGTACTTCCCTTAGGAAAGGTAAGTCCTTACAGGAAACATGAAATTTTAAGATTTTACAGAATCTTCATGGTTGGAAGGGACGGTTGAGATCATTGACTCCAACCATACACACACACACACAAAAAAAATAAAACAAAATCAAAGAACACACAAAACAAAACACCCAACCCAACAGTCTTGTCTTGGGCACTAGAGCATGCCCTGAAGTGCCACGTCTCCACATTTCTTAAACACCTCCAGGGATGGCAACTCCACCACCTCCCTGGGCAGGCTGTTTCAGTCCCTGACCACCCTCAGTAAAGTAATTTTTCCTAATATCTAATCTAAACTTCCCCTGCCGCAACTTCAGACCATTTCCTCTGCACCTGTCATTATTCCCTTGGGAGAAGAGGCCAATCCCCACCTCTCTACAACCTCCTTTCAGGTAGTTGTAGAGGCGGTTGTGTATAAATGGCATAAATATATTTTGTGTATAAATGGCATAAAAACATTTGCTTTTATGTGCACTTGGAAGATTCTTTTTAGCTAAAAGAGCAAAAGTTAGCATCTAGAGGCATTTCTTTGCTTCCCATGCACTCAGAACACTCACCCATAAAGGTTTAATTGGAATGAAGTATGTAGGGACTTTACATGAAGGAAGGCTCACTCTTTTTGAGAGGCACATCACTTTTTTTTCAAAATAAAACAGTTTATGGCCAGGTCAGGCAGAAAAAAAAGCTGTATTTCAGACCGTCTTGAATGTGAGTAAGACAACTTACTGCAGGTTTTACTCCTCTGCCCAAATCTCATTCCAGAACTTTATGGCTGTCATGGGTTGTTACAAGAAAATCATTACAAGAAATATATGATAGCAGTGAGTAACAGATCCATGTCATTAACAGCTTATATAAGCCTACTATTCAGTACGGAATTCTTTCACATTTTTCCGGATATAAAACCAAATATGAATTACAGATGGCTGTGAATGTGATATTCCACAAATATAAAAATCTGGCCCCATAAGTTTTCAGAAGTTCTTCATAGAATTTGCCAAGATCTGTGTTTTATGCTCTACTTTCCCAGAACTTTTCTCTTTTGAGTGAAACAAGTTCTAGCATGGCAGATATATTAATTTCTTACTCAGAATCATATCCAGCAGTTAAAAAAATTAATACAAAATCCTTGGATATGAAGAAGTAATTGTAAATGTTCCCATACCTTGAAATAACCAGTCCACCTATCTACCCATCCAACTGCTGGAAATAACCAATGCTGTCACCAAATTGGCAATCACTCTTTTTATACAATGACAAAAATCTTTAGATAAAAGATTAAACGTAAAGATACGTGTGGCATCTAGACCTAGCTTCAAATGCAGTACTACAGGTCAGGAGTCTCAACATGAAATTGTGATTCACTGACCCTCTGAATGTAGTGGGAGAGAATCAGGCCAAGAAAAGCACATTTTATGGTGAAACGGGCAAATGATGCTCAAAAGTCACAGGTACAACAGAAAGAACTACACAGAACACGAGTTAAGGTAGACAACACAATTTCAGTGCGTTGACAACTTGCCAACCAAAGCTAAAATAATAATAGTGAGCACTCAACAAATACCAGGATAGAAATTGTTCAGAAACGGCCTCTTTGGCTGAATCTTTGAAGCAGGACTTTTGCTCGTTTTCAGAGAAGCAGCAATGAGTAGGAGCAATAAGGCGAGTGGAAAGGATTATCCAGGGCACCGAGGTGAGAAGAGTGAGTGTGGCAGCAGTGCAGCTACTCAGAAAAAATCTCACCTACTGCCCTGAAGAACAGAATTCTTAACTTCCAAAACTTCATAAATGGCTAGTATAGGAGCATTACTACAGTGTTCAGTTGCCTTTTCTCATATAAACATTCACATGTGGTTTTAATATGAAGCTGAGAAAACAAACCACCCACAATACATTACACCATATTCTTGCTCTGTAAGAAATCTGTTCAGTTCTTAGAACGTGCTGGAGTGACAAGAAAACAGCACACCCTGGGGAGAGAAACTAGACTCACTGGGGGACAAAAAAGAAACAGGTCACCACAACTTGAAGTACCATGTGTCCTTGAGAAAGCTTTTCCCCTATTTTGTCCACTGGAAGATATGATTCATGACAATTCTATTCACTGTTGAGTTTGAAAGTTTCCATATTTAAAAAGGGTGTCGGGTTGATTTCACTGTACCCGCTTTTGTGCACGTATATTAGCATTTCTACTTATACAGAAAGAAATACACGCTGTGAAGTGTGCTGCAGAGAAGATGCTCCATTGTCCTTTGCCCTCTGTGGTGCAGGGATTACTGCCACTTAGCAAAGCAGGGTGAGACTGTACATTGCTCCCTTGACTAGTTCAAAGGAACAGCATAACAAGCCAGTAAGATTTTCTAAAATAACTGTAGGCTCAGCTGTTTTCTCCATTTTCCCTCATATTGAATGTATTATTCAAATAAGCATTTTACACTCAGTATGCATTTTTTTCGGAAAGTAATCCTATTTGCTGCATCTTGATACTGTGCCACTTCTCTTAGCACATACCAGAAAATTAAATCTTGCTAGTGTAACCTGCCACCTAATTCACTGAACACCAAAATAGACTTTTATCCTTTATCTTCCTATGACTCGGTCACAGAAGAGGTTACTTCTCCTTATCAAGTTTAGCTCTTTGACTGAATTTTTAAATGAAATAGTACAATAATTACTGCATGGGAAAATTGGCTTTCTATTTTCATTGAATATGCAAATAGGCACAATCCTTGCCGATACTTTCCCTATTTTTAATTTTTTAATTTTAATTCCTTTTATTTCTGTTTTCTCTATAAACAATCAATTTTTATCTCTGTTAAGCAAAATTTAAAATGTAAGTGCTTCTCATCTCTAAGGCAAACACTTGAAAACATGAAATTACAGTGAAATCTTTTCAATTAATAAAACAAGCCCTTGTCATATGCATGATCGGTACTTCTCTCAGTAGGAAATGTCCCATCTAGAGGAGACACCGGCAATCCCAATCATAGAGTAGCTACTTATTCAGTCAAAATTCCAATTGTTAATTCTTACCAAATGTGAAACTAGACTCCAACATCTCATGACTAATCTACCAAGTCACTGATGGCAATTCCTTTTACCCATCTAAAGCAGTGAGAAACCTGTAATGATAAGCAAGGGAACAGCTGTTTTAAAAGCCTTCTGTAATTTGGGGCTATTTAAAATAGAGTGTTATTACTTGTCCAATAGCCCATTTACTGGTTTTCTTTTTCATTCCACTGAGACAAATCACCACTTTACAGGGAAAATACGAAAGTCTGTAATGGCAAAGCACTGTCCTTGACTAATGGTTAATTTGTTCCAGTAATAAGGGACATCGGTTAATCCGACAGTACATTTTCAGCTTTCTGTTATTGATTTACACTTAACTTTAGGAAACACCAACACTTGTATTCTTGTATTCCAGTATTTGACTCAGAGCAGTTGGAATCCAAGTATAGCGCAGCAACAACCATGTTGCAGAGTTTACGGTGAAATGACTGTCATCCCACTCACAGTTCAAAAAGTGTGTTTACATCAACACCCACCCTTGTTAGGCTGGCAAGGAAGACTACAGGAAAGACAAGAGAAAACACCAGAAACACCTAAGTGGATACAACAGCTGGAAAAGAAGAAAAGAAAATAAATAATCTCCTTGAAGTATTCAATAATATATAAACATGGTGTAGTGTAATTTTGGGTTGCTGTTTAGGATCAAGATTATTTAATGGAGCAAAACAGCATAAATGGAAACTAGAGCAAAAACACCAGAACAGCTGTTTAGGAAGCATCAAGGCATAATAACCATCAGTCACAAGTGGGATCATACCACTCACTTTTTGAATGAAGACAGGGAAAATCAGGAACACTGTGAGTTCTGAATTTTTGTAAATTACCTCATCATTATATGGGAGAAAGCTGCTGTAAAGCTGAAGACTAGCACAATTTTTGATAGATGACAAGGTATGAATAAGGCTCGTACTTTCGTTAAAAGATGAAATATTTCTGCCACATTTTGTGGGAAAGCAGTCCATAAAGAAGATTTTATGTCTTGTTCTCTATCAGAGTTACAGAGTTGTGACCTCTGAGAAGCCAATGACAAAACTCCCAGTAAGTTCAACAGCCTTGGAGCAGGATCCGGTCGTGTACTTATTAGTGTTTCACTCAGTAAAAACATACTAGTAGCATGTCTTGCCTTGTACAATGCCACTACTGTTTCCTCCGCAAGCACTTGCCAGCACTCACAGAGATGACCATTCAGTATTGTGAGATCCCTGGGATGATAGACACGAAAAAGCAGACAGCTCTGAAGACAGCAGCAGGCTACGTGAGGGATGCATCAGATTACCTTGTCTTGGGAGCATTTTTTCTTTGACA